TTTTCACCCAGGTACTTTCGCAGCCATGCCTGCTGAACTAAAATAAACAGGATTCTGTACCTGCTGTCGATGAAAGTCTCTGTTAAACCTTGACATAAGTAAACCAGAGTCTTTTATTTTAACCATCCAATTCTTGCAACCTCCTGACATGAGAGGTTTTAATGGTCCTTTTCTTTCTTTCTTTCTTTCTTTTTAATGTCCCCACCATGTGCCACCATCACTCAGAGACTATCAGAGAGATTTGGTTTCTCATTCACCTTAAAGGCTTCCATAATTCAACATAATTAAGATCACATCCAGATACCCAGCAACTTCAGCAACAGGGAGGATTTTCAAAACGAGTTTGCCTCCTCGTACCACAGACATAAAGGAGGCAAGATGACATTTTTGTCTGGTTCATGGCAAACTTACTGATGTCAATCTGAACTCTATTCTCTTTCTATGGTAAATATTAATTCTAAAGGAAAATACCATGCTTCAAATTTGCAGCATGAAATGAATTATTTTCCTGTTAGGCAGAGGGCAGAATTTTGGATGAAGCAGTGGATTTTTTTATATCATTATTACTGTGTTTTAACAAACTTTATAGCCCATATTGTTTGTTCTCAAATAACTTTTCCCCCCTTCTTTTCTGCCATCAATTACCTGGTTTGTTCCCTTCACTGTATGATGTTGGAATCAAGAGATTGATACTGCTCAATGGTATATAATTTAGGATTATGTGCATTGGGTTTATGCAGCGGGAGTCAGACAAAACATAGCATTTGAACAGTATCCATTTATTAGCGCTAAGAAAGAGATTTATACTGTGACAAGTAGACAATAACTCTGTTTTCTGATAAGCCAAAGAGGTCTGCTTTGGAATCCAATACACAGAGTGGCTTACCCTTTCACCAATAATTCTGTTTACTAGTGTGAGTATATTTTAATAATAAACTTGATATATATATGTAAATTTATTTTAATCTAATTTCATCAACCGAACCCTCCTAAAAATGAGCCTTTGTAGATTGTTTTCATATCTGAGTTATAGATTTCTGTATCCTATTCCCAGATTGATTTCTAGGCTATAATTCTGTCAAGATTTCCTCCTGGTGTCAAAAACAGCAACACCACAGCTAGAGTGTTTTATAATTGGCATCACACCTCAACCAGAATTATAGCCCTAATGTGCTTTCCCAGGGTGGGTGGTTTGATTTTCGAATCTCTCTTTTTCTCAGTCTATAACTGGACTTCAAGATTTTATGGCAAAAAAATTGTCTGCAGGATTAATCAGGAAATGTTTAATTTAAAGCATATGTTTGGGTGGGGCAGAGACAGGAGAAGGAGGGAGAAAAGACAAGAAAGAGAAAGCACTCTCTGAGCAATGTGAGAGAAATGTAGAAGAATGATTAAACACAAAACATATGAATTAATCAGGGTTGTAAGTGAATATTTTAAAATGTATCTGCCTTCCTTCTGCTCTGAGGTCAAATAAATTAAGTTGCTATTCCTTACTAATTCTCCGGGCACCAATCCTTACTACCTGGGCGAGTGGGCTCTTTGCAAGCCTAAATTAAATCAAAGTCATATTTGTGAAGTGCTTTCTTGTCCATTTAAAAATAAATACTCCACCCCAAACAGCAGGCCTGGTTCTTTGAAGCTAGCATAGTATGCGGGGCTCAGCAAATATAACATTTTGACCTGGGGTTTGGAAAGTTGGTAACACATACCTCCTCCAGCCCACATTGATTCATTTGCTTCTTCTACAGGTATGATTGTCTTGAATATATCCAAAGCGCCTTTCATCCCCAAACATTTCATGCACTTAAAATAAGGTACAGTCCGGTCATGATGAGATTACTCATCCAGCGTAGGAACAGAACAAAAAAGGTATTGTGGTCTCACAGAAATCATAGCTCCAGAATTTCACAACTCATGTTAAAGGTTAATAAGAGGGCCAATTTTAACAGTGAACAAAAGCCCAGAAAGCAACATTGCTTGGGAGTTATTATGGAAGCCAGAGAGGAATGAGGACTGATATGGGGAGAGCCAGCAAAGTTTAAATTATAAGGAGGCAAGAACAACAGGATATTTGACATGAATTACTGTAATCTATGGCAAAGTGCTCCAGAATAAGAATGGGGACATTGTTATTGGGAAAAGAGAGCGAGAATAGCAAAAAACACGGCCCTATGGGAGATACAAAAAAGTATGACACATTGGCCCAGCTTCTCAGGAACCTTACAATTTAGTTGAGGAGACAAGACATGTACAGAAAGTTAAATAACAGTACAAGAAATGTCATGAGGCAGGCTAAGTTAAATGCTACTCCAACAATTGTCCTGACTGCTGCTTTGAGGATCAAATGAATTAATGCATGTGAAAATGCTTAGAAAAATATTTTTAAAAAACACTTACATTGCACTGTGATAGCATACTGTAATATTAATAGTAATAATAACTTGGTGTTCTATTCTGAGCTCTCCACTCCTGAGCACAGAATCTTGGAAAAGTCAGTCAACCTTAGGCAGAATTTTCCCATTTTAGAAATGAGAATATTGTTTGAATATAGTATACTTGAGAATTACTTTAAGAACTATGAGGTAGATATCGACTACAGAGTTCTAATGAGACAGCAGCTACAATTTAGTCCTGGCTACTACAATACCAGGATAAGATAGTTAACTGGAAGTTTTTCAAATAAAAGAAAGGAATACATTGTACTGATATTGAAAGATAAAAGAAAAATAGCTAGAAGCTAACTAAAACTACATTTATTCCATATTCCTTTAGCCTCCATTATGATTTTCTCTGTGATAATGCTGCCTGTTCAGTCATATAATCCTAGAGGGCAAGGATCTTACTTATTTAATTCATTTAATACCATAACCTAAGGAATGCTTAATAAATATTTTTGAATAGAAAAAGGAATTGAGTGGGTGGAGGCTGATATTAGGCAAAAAATTTAAAGTGATGTTGTAAGAAGTAAGGTCCCTAACACCAGCCAGCTATGTGTGCTCGAGCAAGTAATTTCATTTCTCCCGTTTGTAAAAGGAGCAGGATGACTTCAGGATCCCTTCCAGCTCTAACAATCCATAATTCTATGACTCCGCATGCCAAGAGTGAGTGACCACTTGTAGTGGGCCAGTAATAGAGAATGTTGATGTGATTAATTTATAGTTTAGCAAATTAAGGGAAAGGATAGGCTGGTCCATTTTTGTAAGCCAGTAATTTTAAGAATTTACCTGCAAGACTGAATTAAAACAACTAAATGCACATTGATTAACAATGTATATAACAAATGCATTCACTAATTTGTTCATTGATTGAACAAACTCAGAAAAGATATGGTCAAAGCTTTGGGATTAAGCACAAAAGAAGAGTGAGAGCCAAACCTAAGGATAAGAAAGAAAAAAATAATGAAAGCTACCCATCATCATTATCATTATTATTCTTGTTGTTGTTATTGTTGTAGTTTTTCTCATCTCATGGGTACAAATGGTCCCAGGACCAGTTGATATCCTGCTATTATTCTTTTATATTTGATATTCTATAGATCAGTGCACTGGTGGAAAAAATGATAGCTTTTTGTAGTTGAATAAAATTATTAAAATGTAAGCTCATCCTCTGCAAGCTCACTGAAAGCATTCCTGATACAACACCAGTAGCAGACAGACAAGAGTAATGCTATTCACCTCATCCTGTTCCCACAGGATTTTGATCTCTTCTAAGAGGTCTCTGATAATAATGTCATTTATATAGCACTTTAAGTGTGTTATAAGTACTGCTTTATATTTTGAAAGTTTTAAAATCTTGATCTCAAGGTTTTTTTAGATCCTTGTTAAATCTACGTGATTATGAGCAACAGTTCATTCTGTGATGACGGTCCAGTTCTAATATAATTTATTGGTTGAATTCTCCTGAATAGTATTATTATCCTCCTCCTCCTCCTCATTATTATTATTAGCATTGCTCCACTAAAGTCTTACTCCGATACTTACCTCATGGTAGGGTGGAAGTGACCTTGGTATTTCCCAGGCTATACCAACAGAACACAAGTTATTGAGGGTCTTACATCTTACCAACACAGGAAAGCTTTGAGTGTGAGCCTATCTAGGTACTGTATCATTCAAGAACTTTAGTCTAACTAAGTTGGCCAGTAGGTGAGGATTTTTTGGACACAGAAACTCACTAAATTGCCTGCTAAATTATGCGGGTGGGGATGGAGTGGGGGAGAGTGGGGGTGTTGCAATGTGCGCTAATGGAAGACTCATAGAAATCCCTTTATCGCTCTGGGCTTCCGTTTCCTTGTAAGTAAAATGAAGGGACTAGACTAGATAATGTTTAAGATCTTTTCTATTCTATTCTGTGAATCCAAGTACTAATCATACTTCCTACTTGGGTGGTATTTCACAATTTCCATAGAATTTTCACATATTTTGTTGGATCTTCACAATAATCCTGTGAAATAGACAAAGGTTATTGCATCTATTTTATAGATGAGAAAACTGAAGCTCAGAAAGGTTCAGTGATTCACCCAAGGTCACACACGTAGTAAATGGAAGAATTAGATTTCACATCCAGGTCTTCTAAAGTCTTAAGTCCAGTGCTCTGTACTATAGGAAGACATAAGAGCTACAAGATCCTCCTCAGTATCTTTGCAGAGAAGGAACAGAACTCAACACGCAGAAAGCACTGAAAACTCATTAACATGAAGTAGATGAAAATATTCTATGACAGCTCTCCAGTGGGCATCGGAAAGTATAATTAGTTCTAGTTTTAGAGTCAGAAAACATGGGTTCAAAGCCTGACTCCATCACTTTCAACCTGTGTGTCTCTGAGCCAGTCATGTCTTCTGGACTTTAGCTTCCTCATCTGTAAAATGACAATGTTTTAACTTGGTCATTTATAAAGTCTCTTCTAGATCAAAATGCTGCATCCCAAACTGCAGGGAAGTCCAGTCATGGAGACACTCACTTACCAAGCTTCAAAAATTCTTGCTACAACCAATAGTGTACCTGTTGGGCATGAATCCCGCATTATCCAGGAGAGTTGCTTGATTTAAGTCTTGAGGGAAACCGTGAAGCACCCATCCACAGCGAATGCAATCCTGTTTACTGAGACGGTTTATCAGGACTCTTATGATGATTTGATCAGGAACTAGAAGGAGAAAAAAATGAAACCGTGTTTTGGACAAAAGTAAAAAACTGAGTTTATGAAATCTCTCTTGGAAGATTTATGTGAATTGATGCACAATGAAGTAAGCAGAACCAGGAAAGCAATATACACATTGACTACAGCAATTTAAATGGAAAAAAACAACCACAACCAAACAATCCAAATTGAATGCTGTGAAATTATAATGACCAGCTTCCTATTCTCCTAAGTGAATAGCACAGGGCTTTATATATAGCAGTCTCCCACGAAAGGGTGGCTGGACTTTATATGAATATATATATATACCTTTCTATTCAATTAAACTGAGGGTAGAGTCTGTATTTTATACTGCTTAGTTTTTCCCTCAGGTACTTCAAGTTTAGATTTATATTTAGATCTGTTGACTGATTTCAAAGCTTTTTCAACTATCTGTTTTGCTTTGTAATAGTTTTCAAGTTTTTTCTAGCGTGTTTGGTTTGCTTATACACCTCCTTCAGGGTAGGAATATATGTCATTCATTTTTAAAAGACTTACAACCATTTCAAGTTTGTAGATCTATACCCCAAGAAGATTAAAGAAAAAGAAAGAGGACCTATATACACAAAAATATTTATAGCAGCTCTTTTTGTGTTGGTGAAGAATTAGAAACCCATCAATTGGGGAATGGCTGAACATGTTGTAGTATATGAATATGATGGAATACTAACTATTGTGTTGTAAGAAATGATGAAGGGGATGGTCTCAGAAAGACCTGGGAAGATTTATATGAACTGATGGAAAGTGAAGTGAGCAAAATCAGGAGAACAATCTACATAGTAACTGCAATAGTGTAAAGTTAATCAACTGTGAAAGACTTAGCAACTGATCAATATAATGATCTACCACAACTCCAAAGGACTGATGATGTAAAATGCTATTCACTTGCAGATAGAGAACTGATAAAGACTGAAGTATATTTTTCCCCCTTTCCTTATTTTTCTTGCTTTTTTTTGGAACATGAATAATACGGAAATGTTTTACATGACTTCTTATGTATAATGGGTATCTTATTTCTTGTCTTCTCAAAGAATGGAAGAGGGGGTGGAAAAAGGAAGAAAATTTGCAACTGAAAAAAAATTAAAAAGAATAATTTCCAGTATGGCACCATGATGCACAATGCACAATCATGTAAATGTTTACCATACTTTTAATTACAGAAAAATCAGAGAAATGGCAATACTTTCCTCCTTAATTTAGAGAATAAAGATTATGCTGTCTGGTACACTGTCATATGCTTAAAGGTATTATTTTGCCATGTAAAATATTCACTTACATGAAATCAGTCTCATAGCTAATATGTCTCAAAGGCAGGATTTGAAGCCAGGTCTTCCTAACTCAGAGATTAGCTCTCTAACTACTGCAACATATTGCCTCTCAAATTACAGATGAAAAAACTTAACCTGAGAGGTTAAGTAACAACAACAATAATAGCTAAAATTTATATAATCCTTACAGGTTTATAAAGCACTTTACATATATCACTTCATTTAATGCTCAAAACAACCCAAACTCTGTGTGTGTGTGTGTGTGTGTGTGTGTGTGAGAGAGAGAGAGAGAGAGAAAGAGAGAGAGAGAGAGAGAGAGAGAGAGAGAGAGAGAGAGAGAGAGAGAGAGAGAGAGAGAGAGAGCGCAAGAGAGAGCCTAGTAACTTGCCAAAGGTCAAGCAGCTAATAAGTAGCAGAGATGGCACGTGAAGCCAAATCCTCCAACTCCAAATCCAGTGCTTTTTTTTCTTTATGCCACACAATATTTTCACACTACTAATACGTCTCTCATAATTCTAAGCATTTATGGAAGCAGGATGAATTTAGCATTAGAGAAGGCAATTGTTTCCATAATCAGAACCGTAAGCATTCAATTCAAAGGCATATACCTAAAACCAGAATCTCTGCAAACTCATGCCCACGAATAGCCAGATGCAAACACAGGTGAGAATGCCAGAGAAGCAAGAGGGGTGAGGGTGGGTTGGAAAAATTAATCACAGAACAGTAAGAACATTGAATGTGAGCTTTATCCATCCTCCCACTGGAGTTCTATAAAGCTATACTATGAAAGTTCTCCCAACACTTTCAATGGTGTTCAGAGAAGCACAAGGGAGTTCTGTAGCAAGCCCACAGATGAGACTGTGTTAACAAGCTTTCTGTTTTTCAATTAGGTGGGGGATCCCCTGAACTGGCATACAATTATTTAACAAGTTGGCCGCAGTTTCAGGTGTGTCAGGTTGCATTGGCCAGCCACTATAGGTTTTCTCTAAAGGGACACATCACACAGGATGACCCACCTCAGTTTCCAAGACTCTCTTAAATGTTATTTGTCAATCTATGATCTCCTAAAACTTGCTTTTCTCTAGTCTTCACCTCACATTCTTTTCTGATTCATATTTAGAACCAACTATTTCTCAAGATTCAATGTTTAAGGATAACTGAAGACTACAGGAAACGTATATAGAAAATGAAATATTACACTGAAACCTCTTATTTACATTGACACAACTGACATTTTCCTGAAATTTATACCTTCTCCCCCAGACTCATTAAATGTCCTATGTGGGTGATGTTCTGAGTTCCAGCAATTTGCACTGCATTCCCTGCAATTTGCACTCATTTTTCAGAGATGATTGGTAAATATTACCATTGTTTGCTGTGAAATTAGTTCTCAAGAGAAGATAGTTTCCTATATAGTTATTATAACTGACTGCTTCACACCTTCTTTAGAGATGCATAGCTTCCCTGATACAATATAAAAGAAAATCAAAAGTAAGTGCTTATCGAGGCCTTACAACAATGGGAACACAAAGAACAATAAAAACAAACCTGAATGTTTTGTAATGATAATGACCAAGCTCAGACCAGAGAAGGGCTGGGGAAGGGCACCTCCCTCCCTTTCTGGTAGACATGGGGAACTATGGGTGGAGAATATTGCTTGTATTTTCAGACATGGTTGATGCTTGTTGAATTGACGTTTCTTTTAAATTTCTGTTATAAAGGAAGGCTTGATGGATAGGGGAAGGAGGGAAGCATATATTCGGAAATGCACGTGATATGTAAACAAAAAGCACCAGCCAAAAAAAAATGCTCACGTACTTTGAGCTGGGCCTGAATGCTGGCTATTATTTCAATAGGTGAAGCTGGGGAAAAGATGTTACAATCATAGGGAACACTAAAGAGGGGCACAGAAATGGGGAGGTTGGGGAGATATTTGTAAAACAGTGAATAATTTATTTGTCAGAAACAGAATTAGTCTGAGATAAAGGATTGGAGCTAAATTCTGGTGGTTCTTGAACGTCAGGCTAAGGAGTCTGTACTTTCTGTTCAGGAGGAGGGGTAGCAGAAAGAGCCCTGTACTGGCATGTGGGATTCCTCCCTCGTCTGGGCCTTAGTTTCCTCCATTGTAAAATGAGGGCATCTAGCTCTAATCCAGTCACCAATGGGGAGCCACCAAAGGTTTATAAGGATGGGAGGAATGAAATCAGAGCTACCCACTAGCAAGGTTAAGCTGTCAACTATATGTAGGATGGCTCTGAGAAAGGGCTAGATTAGAGGCAGGGAGGCCTGGGAGGAGACTGAACTCTAACAGGTGACAACAGGAATAGAAGAAAGGGGATATGTGTAAGAAATACGGAGACAGCAAATTTAACATGACCCTCACTGATTGTACTGAGAGAAGGTCTCTTTGTTTTAAGAAGCAACATGTTTCATTCATAGCACTGATTTAAATATGTTGTTGTTCGGTCGTTTTTCAGTCATGTCCACCTCTTCATGACCCCATTTGGGGTTTTCTTGGCAAAGATACTGGAGTGGTTTACCATTTCCTTCTCTAGCTCATTTTACAGATGAGGAAACAGAGTTAAGTGACTTACTCAGGGTCACACAGCTAGTGTCTAAGGCCAGATTTAAACTCAAGAAGATGAGTCTTCCTGATTCCCAGCCTAGTGCTCTATCCACTGGGCTACCAGCTGCTTGATTTAAATATAGCCACCATCATCATAGAGGTTCTTTAAAGGTTAGCAAGAGGGGCAGCTGAGTGGAGCAGTGGATAGAGCACGGGGCCTGAAGTCAGGAGGACCTGAGTTCAAATCCAACCTCAGACCAAACACTGGACACTTACTAGCTGTGTGACCTGGGCAAGTCACTTAACCCCAATTGCCTAAAAGCAAAAAAAAAAAAAAGCTAGAAAGAACTGCGTCACAACTAAATTCAGTTCAGTTCTATGTACCAGGCAATGTACTGATGCTTTGGATACAAAGGGAAAAACCAAAGTCCCAGCCCCCCACTCAAGGAGTTTAATTATAAAATCAATAAAGAGTCTAAACCTAGTGCTAATCCACAAATATTAAATGGTGATCACTTACAATTTTTTAGGACTTGACATCACCTTTCATTCACTTTAAAAACTCAGAACCCACAATGTTCCAAGAGGATTGTGAAAGGAAAGCAACATGATATTGTAATTGAAAGAGGACCTGCCAGTCAGGTCCAATACTTTGTATAGTTGTTTGTTTGTTTGTTTGTTTTTAAATTGAATTGTCTGTGGACATCTTGTTTCCCTCAGAATATAAGCTTCATGAACACAAGAACTTTCATTATTATCTTTTTATCTCTAGTGCTCAGTCAAGTTTTCAGTACACAGATGGCGCTTACCACATACTTATTGAAAATTGAATTTAGTTTTAATAATACCAGCTCTGCAAGTAGCTGACTATATGAATCTTAGACCAGTCTTGGTCTCTGTTTCCTTCCTCATATTTAGAATGAGGTGTTAGATTCAAAAGCCTCTAAGGTCCTAGCTCTGACATTACATGACTATTACAAAGAAGCAGGTAAGAACAGATTGTAAAGATGATCTCAAATATAAGTGAAAATGTTCTTCCAAATACAATGGTGACAACTGTCTTTCCTAGTGGGAGAACTATATTAAGTGCAATTCTTTCTTTCATTCTTCCTTCCTTCTTTCCTTTCTTTTTA